CATTCGACAAGGGTTTGGAAAATGCATAGAAATTTCCTATAAAAGGGCTAACATAGGCTACAAGGCTTTCATTTTCCATAAAAATATGTGAACCTGAATATTCGTCATTCTTCAACTTCGGTGAAAGTAACAGCAGCAGGAGAAAAATAAAACCATGTTTAAAACAAGTAACCACGGCGGAATATGTGGCCAATGTGTTATAATATGAAAATTAATACTACCTGCAAATATATCGGCTAAAATGTTCGGTTTTTTTAGCATACACGTCCGCGCCATTTACAATCTTGTCGTCCCCGTGCGCGGTTTTTATCTGCGAGGTTTTCCACTGTTTAACTCACTGTCCACAGGCTAGTTAGCTGACATTATTTAGTACGTCTCTCTTAAGTATTTATTAAGTAGTATGTCAAAGATACAGTTTCACATGTTCTGATATATACTGCACTTAGTATTAGATGCTAATAAATAAGGCTATCGTTTTCGCCTTTTCGGAATTAGTTATGAGATATCGGTTCACAGGAAAGATAGAAATTTCTATATCTCTTAAGCTTTTGTTTTTTGTGATATAAGTTAAGGAAATCCAGTCTCGCAGGTGCTTCTGTGTAAAGGATACAGAATGTCATATAGCACCTCACATTGTGACAGGTATTGTGTGAACACTAGGACATTGTTTTCCTCAGTGTCACTTGGTTTTGCACCACTTTACTTGATTCATTTTAGATGTTGACATGTGTTGGAGTTCTAGTTATAGTGTCATGTATTTAGGTTCAAATATGTTAAGATAGGTAGTATTTAAAATACTACTGCTTCAATAGTTGTCGTTTTACTTTCATCAAGCATGTCAGAAGCCTTAGATTCTTATTGTTTGTAATTTGGCTTGAGAATCATGTGGTTCTCTTTTTCGCTCATCAGAGTTTTCCTTTTTCGTTTTCTACTTACACATAACGACACAAATTGTATGAATGTGACATATGCTACTTTTTTCCCCAAAAAATATTTGAAAAAATCCTAAAATCTATTAAATGTATCAGGCTTTTGCTGCAGAATTAAATCTGCATCAAAAATTATTCGTCCTCCTTCATCTGTGACACTATAAGTATCTGGCGAGAAAGTTGACGCCTTGGAAAAATTCAAGTCTATTAAAAATATAGCACCCAAGTCCTTACTGACTAATCTATACCTCTAACCGTACTCACTGATAAAATTAATACCACTTTGCGTAGTGCAATTTTTTTATTCCCTCAGACTTGTTAATTGTTACACTCATTTTTCCAAGACGTTTTGTCTTGTTCTTAATACCTTAGGCTGCAAACTTCGAATGTTTGGTAAGCGGTTCACTCCCGCCAAGTGTAAGGTGATGCTACAGGACTGGACTGCATTGATTTCTAGCCTACAGATAAGGAGTGAAGTGGTAGAGCACGTTGACCGCTTCACTTATTTTTGAGAAGTTGCATAAGCCAACGCCAGTGGGCTGATCACTGACGAACTCAGCACGGATACCGAAGGCTCGTTTCGTATATGCCAGTTCACGCCGTCTCTGGCGTAGATATGATATCCGGCTATCGACCAAAGGGCGGATGTACTGCTCTGCAGTCCGATCCGTCCTCTTTATTGGCTGTGAGACCTGGCCATTAATAGTGGGAGAGATGAAAAGCCTGGCTAGGTGTCTTTGATCATAGGTGCTTGCGTTCTATCTCCCTTGTGAAGTGGTGTAATAGGGTTAGCAATATTGAGGTTAGGCATCGGTCCAGTGCTAGGTAAGGATGGGAAATCAATCGACGAGGTGATTGTGAAGTTACACCGGTTGAGACAGATGGTTAGGACATGTGTCACGCATGACTAGCCATCGCCTTCCTCGACTGGCAATATCAGCTGACATACAATCAGGTCGGAAAAGAGTCAATGGTGGTCAAACAAAAACATGACTTCGTCAGTCAATGAAATCCATAACAGTTAGTTTAAGCCAGCCACGTAGGGTAGGGAGGTGTAGACTGGCTTCCTGGTTGGGGTCCTCGGAATGTTGAGAACCAATGAAGGCTGGAGACAGTTGGTGATATGGCTCAAAATCGTTCTCAATGACTGGTGCAGATGCATTCACTCTTTGTGACTGATCATATCCAATAAAATTCTATTGTTCTTCCATATTACTATTCTTTTTCCCTCACTCATATTTCTGTTTTGAATCTCTCTTTACTCTCTTCTTTTGCTTTGTGTGCTACATGGAGTGTGACAACTCGAACTGCTGCACATCTGTGCAAAATTCTACTTTGAAACCAGTCAGTCGTTGTGTTTTACAGTGTTCGCACTAACCACCAATTAACTATAGTCTATTTAACTCACAATTGTCCACTTATGTTGTTTCTGACTACTCTTCGAAATAGATGTATTCGAGAGACAGCTTTAGTTTCATGTGTCGCAAGTGTCACTATGATATCGATAAAATGTTGGTTGTGGTCATTAAATGGTGTTTAGCAAACTACACCATTTTACTTATTGGGTCTATCAAAAGTTAATCAAGAAAATTTTAATAATGTAAATAATAAAGGTGGTAAGGGATTTAAAACCCGATTAGTCCTATTGCTTAATGAAGGAATATCAGGAGCTCTGTGTAGACCAAAATTAAGGCGGCATTTGAACCAGCTAACTTATTTAGAGATTAACTTCAGCTACTAGAGCAACCTATAGACCCTAGTAAGAAATGAATTAATTCACTGAAAACCGTCTTACGAGGTAAATTTCATTAGTCATAAGAGTATATAAGGATTACTCAGATTATTGACCCTATTAAGTTAATTAATCTAGAAAAAAACCGCTGCGATCATAATTCATTCACTCATCTAATCGCACAGTATGTTGGGATAAGGTAGCAGTATTAAGAAGTAATATATTTGGGTGAAGAGACAAGTTAATTACTGGATCTTTGTTCATCGGATCAAGACCAAACACGTGCGATAGAAATGATGCAATACCTGTCCCAGATAAACGAAAAGTTACCACAAAAGCGAGTGAGGCTGTATGAAGCAAGTTCGGTAGTCATGTGAATACGTTTATGTGATTATGAGTAATATATTAGTAATAGTTATTAATACTGTGTCATTGTGTGTTTTATCGAATAAACTTATCTAGTGTGGAATCATATTCTACTACAGTGTCCAAATTCCACTCTTACATTAGATTTCTACATATAAACGGAAGTAGTAAAATCGCTCCTTAGTTCCCTAAGCTGTATTTTATATACATAATAGGGTGGGGTTAGATCTAAAACGAAAAGCTTTTTGTCCTTACTGCGAAAAATCGTCTCAGCAACAGACCCTAACTTGACTATCCTTCAACATGCACGGAATCACTTACACAGTGAAGCCGTTGGATGCAAACAATTCTATGGAAGTAGAGATGATGAAACACACAGAGTTGCTACACGTTTTTGGCATGCACAGACGTGGTTCCACAAGAATAAAAAAAACTGAGTGTGAGACCTCGTTCAAGCTAAAGCTTCGCCTACAGGATACTGGGTTCCTCGTCATCAATATTTCAGAATACAACGAAAGTCAAACTACTGGTGTATAGTTGTTTGTTTCGCTTATCTACAGGGCAGAACTAGAGATCTGGAAATATGTGGGATAACACATTCACTGCGTTGAAATCTGATCATATCCCTCATTTTTCACACAAACTCAATAATAGTAGACGGAATCCAATTCACTTATGAGTTAGAAATCGAACAGGGTGAGTTGGCCGTGCTCAACTGTAGAATAAGACGAAAACAAGATGGTGGGCTAGATACTAGCATTTATAGGATACCGACACACTCGAATAAATACTTAGACTTTAATTCATCCCATCCATAATGGGTAAAGATAAGTTAAGTTAGATGTCTGTATAATCGGGCCAAGAGCCTTACTAGTAAATCACAAGATTTAAATGATGAGATCAGACACTTAAAGGAAGTACTACTGCTGAATAACTACAAACCAGAATTTATTCAAAAATATATAAACCATGGAAAAACTAAGATTAGCAATAAAATTGGCGAAAATAATATAGAATTCAAAGCCTCTGTAGTGCTGCCGTACAAAGAAGGGGCGTTAGCTGTCTTGCGTAGGATTCTCAATGCGACTGGAATTGGGGTGGCATTTAAACCAACCAACCCTCTTAGAGATAAACCTTGTCGGCTCAAGGACCAAATAGATCCAATTAAGAAAAACGATCTAATTTACCAAATACCATGCAACTAATGACTGTGAGATCAATTACACACAGGTCGAACTAGTAGATCTGGGTCAACTGGATTATTGGAACATAGAAATTTAGCTAGACCTAAAATGATGATTGACCCTGCTAAGTTAAATAACCTAGTAAAAGGCTCAGCCACTAGCTTACATGTAATCACACAATATAGTGGGACAGGTTGAGAGTATTAAAAAGTAATATAGTTAAGTGGAGAGGTAGGGGTTAGTCACTAAAGTTTTGTTTATCGATTCCACACCGCACACGTGCAATCAGAATGATGCAACACCGGAGATATGGAGTGTGAACAAGCAATAAGGGAAGAGGAGAGGGAGAAAAGTATATATAAGACAAATTGTGAAACCATGTGACTAAAATTCATACGATTATGACTGGCAATAATTTATGCTCGAAACGTCATCCAGTTATGCATACTGCATCACTGTGTGATATTTAAAATAAACTTATCCAATAAGGATCTGCTATCATGTAATTTGAATGTATAACTCACATCTGAAGCTGTGAAACTTGCATATACTATTATGGAAGTACTTTTACATATTGAATTAGTGAACTCCTTCAAAAGATGTGCGTTTTTTGTTGATAAACTGAGGTGGCTTGTATAGTGTTGCCTCATCATAAAAATTCTGTAGAGGTACCTTACGTATAGCTTAATTTGTGTCTATTCTTGTGGTTTATTTTAAAACGAATCAGTTTATGAGGTGTGATTAATATAAATGTTTCATTCGATGACTAAAGTCATTGTTTCCACTTTTACAGGAAATGACTGGACCTGCATCTCGTGGCATATTCGTTGTACTAGAAGGTGCAGATCGAGTAGGGAAGACAACACAAGCGTCACTTTTGGCTAAGGCTTTATCAGAACTTACAAAGAAGCAGACATTGTCCGTTAAATTTCCTGATCGTGACACACCACTTGGAAAACAGCTGGATGCATATTTAAGTGGTGCAGGTGAAATCAACAATCATGCACTGCATCTATTGTTCACTGCAAACAGGTGAGTTGTATTCCCCCCCCCCCCGAGGTTTTTAACCTGTTAGTGTTAACTACTTGTTCATCTGATTTAATGTTTTGGTGGGTGGAACTTTTTGACCAACATGATTTATTAATTGATAGTAGATTTGTTCAGGCCACTTATAAGTGGTATAATATAATGAGGACAAGCCGATCGATGAGGTTGCGAAGCTACATTAATTGAGGTGGCTAGAACATGTGTTACGCATACCGAGTCACCGCATTCTTCGATGAGCAATGTTAACCGACACAAGATTGGGTTAGAAAAGAATTAAGGGTGCCTAATCGAGAACCTGGAATCAGTTCGTGAAGTCTTTGACTGTTGTTTTGAGCTATGTAGACCTATCTGGTTAGAGTCCTCGAGACGCTAAGATCCGCTGTCTTTGTGTGCTACATGGGGTGTCTATGTCTACCTGAACTGCTGCAATTCTGTGGAAAGTTTTTTGTTGTTCTACTTGCTTAGAACTCAGGTAAGTACTGGTGAGATTAGATACAGAGTTTTGTATAAAGAAGGTGAATTAACCCTTGTGGTTGTAAGTCTTCATTGACTGAGTTTGCATAAATGTGTATAACATGCACCGAGTCACTACACTTCTCAATTCACAACTGAGATACTAGAATGTTGGGTAATCATCAATGACGCCTCTAACTTCTGACCTGCGTTGTATTGCTACTCAGTGGTTGGAAGCATGTTGACATGCCTCAGATCTATTCACTGCTTATCGTCGAAATTCAGAACATTTTTAGCGATCATTATTACTTTCCTCTCTCTACTACTGACACCCGAATTCGTCTACTATCGTATCACTGCAATATTTGTCTTTACCCCTTCCATGACGTTTCAAATTGTGATAATTGAAGTGGTGCTTTTCTGTGTAATAATCTTCGCCGACTCACCTGTGTGGAGCTGTCGGTAATTGGTCTAGGCGCTCAATTTTCAAACAGTAGGTCCTGGGTTCGAACCCTCCTCCGCCTGTCTGAGTTTAGACAGCCATACAATACCACTGACTCTCACACAATGAGTCTGTGTCTCAGCACTAACTGCCCGAAATTTCAATTGTTTGTTGAGTAACATTTTCATTTTTTTGGATTTATCTGTTAGTTATTCTGTTGAATTAGATATATTCCTGCGTGATTACATTATTGTCGCTTGTGTTTTACATTATAGATGGGAAAAACAGGCTGATATTCGAAAGGCTATCGCTGACGGGATTCCTGTTGTAGCCGATAGGTATATATATTCCGGTATTGCATACACAGCTGCTAAGCCATCATCAACACCTAACTGGGAATGGTGCTGTGAAATGGAAAAAGGTCTTGTGGCGCCAGATTTAGTCATATGCCTAACTCCAGATAATATGGATTCATTAAATTCTAGAAATGGTTACGGCAGTGAACGTTACGAAAAGGATGATTTTCAAAAACGTGTTCTAGAGAATTATGTTCGTATTTCTAAAGAGGTTCAGCTGGAGAATAGTAATATAGATACTAATGATGAGGACAACGATTCAGTTGGATTTTGGCATTTTGTACAAGCAACGAATAAGTCGGTGGATGAAGTACACCAGTGTATTATGTCACTTGTTAAATCAAAGCTGGAAAGTATGAGTGGTCCAGAGATACATGATTGTACGAAAGAAACTAACTGATTTGTTTTTATTCAGCCATGTAATTTTTAACACCATTTTTGGTATGATTCGTAATATATACACTCTTTCTAATCAAAGAATTTAGTTGTATTTGTGCGCCTTTTTTATCTCTCGGCGTTCCAAGCGGAATATTAAGTTCCAGGCGTGTGTATTGATGTTTCAGTGACGGTGGTGTTTCTAGCCTCATACTCAACCTTACCTCTTTACCGGGCTTACTATCGCCTAAGCGAGGCTTAGAACTGTGTCGACCAGGAGTCGGACGCGGACCACGTGTGGCGTGGTTGGCGAACATTCTACCATTAGACGCTTGCATCTTGTAAATTTCATTATCCAATGATTTAGTCATAGTAGAACAATTAATAATTGTATATATAATGTAAAAATGTGTTATATTAATGTCAGGTTCATATGTAGTTTTCATGTGACCGGGTAGCTATACGTAATGCACACCATCTGAACGCATAAATTCAACTTATCTGTAATAGTAACTGGGTCATTGCTGAGCCGCGTTGTAATAGTAACAACTCGACGGGTGTTTATAATCATCAGCTGAGGGCTCTGATGCCTCAAAATTGTCCACAACTGTACAGAAGAATTAGTGATAAGTGTTTAAATGATATTATTTATTAATCCATCAGACCTTGATATAGTTACTCGGGAAGTTGAATACATTTCAGGGCCTTGAGTCAATAGAATCTTACCCAACAACCAATTTCAATTCCATGCAGCTGGACTAGTGATACTACCTGGTTGCCAAAATCTCGGTAGGCGGTGGAGCCACTGGCGGAAGTCTAGCAACTAGACCTATGAACAACAGTCAATGTTTATCCTCACCATATTTTTTTATTCTCATCATGTCTGTTACTTTAATGTGTGTGCTCTTCGTGGAATTCCTTGGTTTGCCGCATCTCTTAGTACCATCGCCTTACTAATACACATCAGCTAAAATTAGAATCGCCATTTATAAGCCGTTACCTGCACAGGTGGAAGATTTCGTGTTTCGAATGTGGATTTATGTTGTAATGTGGAACCGCTGATTGCATAGTGCGACCTTTAAACCTCGTACAATCAACTCTTCTACCCTATATAAAGAATCGGATTAAATTATTTAACCACTAAGCCAGCCTAGTTTTATGTCAGTCATAGACCAATCATTGTCTTTTGATATTTGCGTAGCTTGGTGAAGCAGAGGGTGTTTGAAGTAAAACAGTCGGTAATCAGTTCAGTTGCATATTGTACTTCAGTACTCTTATACTCACGCACTTATCCACTCACAAACTTTGGATTTAATACACTGCAGCTACTATTTACACGAAGGGTTGTAGGACCTCTTTAAAACTCAAATCAATGAAACAGTGTCGTCTTGTTTTAGCCCTAAATTGTTTGCCATAGGAAGTGTAAGATTTTATAGATATGGTGTAAGGATAATCAGGGGGGCTTCGTGTGCTTTTGGAAGTGTATGGGCGGTTGTTACTTCCTGGCTGCCCATACCGTGGAAGTTGATTTTTTCTTGGGGTACGTGCAATAGAAGTAGTGTTGCGTGACCGCAGAGCCCAGGGGACAACTGCTGATAAATCCCTGTTCCCCAGCAGTACGACTTTGCCCACAGACCCCCTGCATAGTGTAAAAGAAATTTTACACTATACCGGTAACTGCTTTTAGTCTAATCGCTATCCTAACAATCTTCCTGGCATGGTAGGACCTGCAGGGACATTATTTCCAGCCAGTATAGCTTGTTGGATCATTGCGATATCCAAGCCCGACCACCACGTCAAGGTAGCAGCTATCGGTCGGGACATGGTGTAAGACGTTTTTAACTTAAAATGAGAGTGGCGATCATGTGATGTATATTCACCAAGCCTTTATTTGCAACCGGGAATATCTGATTAACTGTCTAGGTGAATCAGTACTTGATATAAACATGTATTCAATTTTCGTGGTTGACTTTGTAAATAATTTGATATTAGTTGTCACGAGAAGAGGTTGGTTGTATGGTTTTCGTCTATTTCTGAATAACATTTATGTTTTTCAATGGTCACTAGGAACTTTTGTTGCAGTTTTCGACCCTGCACGCGTTATTTTGCTTACATGTAGTATTGCGCTGATTACATTGTTGCAGTAGCAGTTGGCGCACAAAAACTCCCAGTAGTATTAAACGCCTACATTGACTGACGTACTACCAAGGATGTTTGTAAGTGATTTTAAAGTTTTCCATGTAGCAAGAAACAGACGGTCAGCAATTTAATAAACTTCAAAACACTAGTTCCCTGGATTAGATTTGGGCAGCGATATGAGACGACGACTATTGTCTGACGAATGCGATGTTAGAGGATTTTATCATGAGCTGATATCGGTTAGAGAACTATTGGAAAACTAGCTGGGAGTACTGGACAGCTGGTTGGGGACTCTTCATTAGTACGCACCCACCACCGTTAGAACCCAGGACCTTCCAGTCACAAGGCGAGCTCGTAGACTATTACGCCACTGGAACCCGATCCAAGGACACATGAATTCCAACTTCTGCCAATTCACGATACAGCTCGACCATTAGCTGATGCCATCGGCGAGTATTTGTCCTCACACCCGACCTGCTGTACTCCACTGGTCACGACTTCTCATCAGAATTCAGGTAACTACCTACGTGATTGATATTCAAGTGTTGCTTTGCAGGGATTTGATTAGTACAGGACTTCATCATGAGCTGACATCGGTGATGTATTTGCGTAACGCATTCTAAACAGTCTGGTCATACATACTTTTGTCAATTTATGTGGAAAGGAAGGGTCAGTTAAAGTAGGCAAAATTATAGGGGACTGACTCGTTACCAGAGGAAAGTCTACCATGATTTAAAACAAAATTCAAGTATTCTTAATAGACATTTTTAGTTTTTCAGACTATAAGCCACCCTTCGCTTGAAACTTTATGACATTTGACTGTATAGATAGGTTGAAGATCAGTCGGGATCGAAACTTGCTACCAGTAGATTGAAAGTTAAGCGCTCAAGTATAAGAATCCCGACATATGCAGAGTTTTCGTAAGATACTGTAGTTTTACTACTTCAATTCAGAATTCGTGCATAAACCCTAGTAAGTATTAGGCATGCCATACGTCAATCTGACAGACAATAACTGCATAAACTAATTCCATAAAGTTTTTATACGTCTTTTGTGAACTAACTACTTTCGACGCATGATTGATGGAACTGACTGTTTCTTTGGTTTAGATTTGCACTTCCTGCTGTGTTGATTCGAAATGCCCAGTCTCTGCTGACATAACAACTAGTACTTACGGACGCTTCGACAAGGCTTGACGACTAACGTGAAATTATTTTGTTTGGTGGAGACAAGCAGTGGAATTTTAGCATGCACATTCCATCCAATTTATGACTAGTCAGTTAGATGTACCTGCAATCACCACCAGTGAATGATAGCTTTGCCATGGGGACTCGAATCCTGCATTCATTGTTTCAGATATCCAATGGATAATGCTTTGGCAGAGTTTGAGTCTCAGAAGATGAAGCACTATCTATCATTCACTGGGGATCGCACGAAAACTCAGAAGACGAGTCCCTAGTGAGACGAAACGTACAATCTTGGATTCCACTGCTAGTCACCACCAACTAAAATAACTTAACTACTTTGTTCTACCTTATTGATAAGGTTATTGCATAAAAGCTGCTAGGCGACTTTATCATGATTCTCTACCAAGTTGTGAGGGACTTCATCCGCACAACAATGCAATACAAGTCGTCCCATAACTGTTATTATATATTATAAACTGGGTTTTTCATCACGCAATTAGTCAAGGTGGACTCAACAAACGTAATTTCAGGTTTCCTACATTCATACCATACTTGGCCCGTGTTCTAAGCGACAGAGACAATGTTAAGCGCGAAACGTATGACTTGCCTTGTTATTGATAACATAACTTTAGGCTCTTTTATTTCTCTCTTATTTTGTATTCTATAGTGAACTCCTTCTTAAACATACTTAGCTACCTAAATTATTAACATAGGCTTACTTTTGTACTTTACTGTATTCCTTCTTTTGTGTATCCACTGGTTCGACTATATTAGCTTATGAGTATACAAAATTTCCTGTCATAACCATCATGTAATTATTAGTTTTATGGTTGTTTTTTCTTATTTTTTCGGCAATATTAACTGACAATCATTGGCTGTGAACGCCATTGTCACCACCTTAAAAATTTTTTATTATGCAGGATTACTCACACTACCACTACAAACACTGCATTAGACCTGACAATAAAAAAAACAACACCATGAAATGTTATTTTATGATTGTTTAGAGTTGTTTCAACCAAATTAACTGATCATCTTGGCGATAAACATTCTTAAATATCATTTTATAACTTCTTGTATGACTATAGCTTTACTGTCACCATGCATAATCATATCATAGCTTCCACTACCCAATACTGAGTTATTATTAAATGCTGTTTATTTTCCTTTCTACTTCTTGGTATTTTTTCACACTTTTCAAAAATTATTTTGTTTTTCCTGTTTTTTTGCTGTTGGTGTCTTTATATTTATTTTTTGAAATACTCCTTTTAAATGTTTGATAAAATTAGATGCAAATATTGTAGATATGTGCTGAAAATTCCACACTGTACCACTAGTACTGTTTCTGGAATAAAGCAAATTATTATTATTATTTTCTTAAATATTAACTAGTTTTTTTTGAGGTCACTAAACCCTCATTTTAAACGTAAATTCCTTTAGGGATTCAATAACCCTCCCCCCACCCAACATAGCTTAATTCTCCTTATCTAGTAAATGTTGTCCAGGAATTCTATTGAAAAAGAAAGTAATATGCAATTTTCTAACCTACATTTCACATAATTTATCTGAACATTTATTAATTTTCAAAGTCACATAACCATTTTTTGGGGGATGAAACGTTATCCAAAGGTAAGGATAATATTGGTGAAACGTGAATGAAAACACCCATGTTCACAATCGATCCTTCGAACCATGTCATTTGAAACAGTGTACAATTTAGGTGCTGACTTCATCCAAAATAACGTCGTAAAACTTGTGTTGTAATGCTGTCATCAAGCT